AAATGGCATAGTTCCTTCAATGAAACCCAAGTAGTTGTTTATGGAGGATTTGACAGAATCCTCTATACCACCATAGAAAACAGAACATTTCTCTGGATTAGCCTCTAGCCCATAGACAGCATTGAACTCTTTGTCACATTGGAATAGTGCACAGAATAAACATCACCCTTGGCAAAAAGGAGTAGATCATCCGCAAATATTAGGTGTGTAATTTTAAGCCGTCTACACTTTGGATGGAACATAAAAAGTCTGTCATTCTTTAACATCCCCAACTTCCTTGATAGGTACTCCATTCCTAGATAAATAGATAAGGAGATAGGGGGTCACATTGCCTTAAGCCACGTTTGCCTTTGAAATAGCCATGAAGAGAACCATTAAGAGATATAGAGTAACTTGGAGAGGTAATACAAGACAAAATACAATCAATCATGATCTGAGGAAACCCCAAACCATGAAGAAGATCAGATAGGAAAGACCAGCTAATGGTGTCAAAGGCCTTCCTTATATCAATATTATGCATGACCCTTGGAGAGAGATGCTTCCTATTGTAGCTATTCACTAGTTCATGAGCCAATTTGATATTGCTAGAGATCTGTCTACCCTTAACAAATACACTCTGAGCATCATTTACAAGATAACTCATAACAGACTTGATTCTATTTGTGATAATTTTAGAGATAAACTTGTAAAGACTGTTGTAACATGAGATATGTCTGTAATCAGAAGGAGTTTTAGGACAATGTACCTTCGAAATAAGTGCGATTGAAGTAGAGTTAACCATACCCAACAGTTTACCGGTTCTAAAAAACTCCTCAATAGCTATGGTGACCTCCTCACCAATAATAGACCACGCAGACTTGAAAAATGAAACATTATACCCATCCGGACCTGGAGCTTTATTTTCTGACACAGAGAAGATGGCAGCTTTGATTTCATCCTTGGTAACTGGCATGGCTAAATCCCTTGCATGAGATGCATTCAGAACAGGCCCTGAGTTAATGATATCCCTATCAGGAGGGACTGTAACAACAACAGACTCCATATAGTTTCCTATAAAAGGAGACAAAACTATTTACTATTCCCTCGCCATCATGATTCTTTCTCCATTCGTATTGTACAGAACCATCACTCTATTGTTGTGTTAATTGGATTTTGTAATTGCATGAAAGAAACTGGTACCTCTATCACCCTGTAAACTCCAGACAATTCTAGCCTTTTGCCGATAAAAGGATAATTCACAGTCCAGTAATCTATTATAGGATGAGAAACAAGCTTTTTCTTGATTGATGAGAGTAGGATTGAAAGGATCAGCTTGAAGATTACTCTGAACTTCTTCTAATGCAACTCTGGCACGTTGGACATGTTCACTGATATTGAAAAAAAAATGCTTCTTATTTAACTCCTTCATATTACCTTTAAGCAACTTGAGTTTAGTGCAGACTGATAACATTTTGTATCCTTCAACAGTGGACTGCCAAGTCTTTGAAACTGTTGGAAGGAAGCTAGGATGCTTGGTCCACATTTTGAAAATTTTAAAAGGCTTTTTTCCTTGTGCACAATCATCATAAATTGAGACTAAGGCAGAAGAATAATCAAATAAACCTGGTTGTAGGAAATCAACATGGCTGGAATTATACAGATTTATCCATGAGCTATTAACCAAAGCCCTGTCAAGTCTACACCAGATTCTGGTACCGGATTCCTGTTTATTACTCCATGTATAGAAACAACCCAGAGTTTTAAGGTGACTGAGCTGACAATCTTCAATAAAGGTCTTGAAATCAATTGTATCAACTGCGGTTAAAGAAACCCCTCCCAGCTTTTCTTCATTATTAATCATTGTATTAAAATCTCCACACAATAGCCATGGAGAATTCCCCAAATTTTGATGAAGAGAGTAGAGGTCAAGCCACAAATCTTGTCTAGCCTCTAATTGATTGAAACCATATATAGATGAAATGAAACAATCCAATTTCCCATTAACAGATTTTACTGAGCAAGTAATATGTTGTTCAGAAAACTCAGTATGATTCTTGATGGCTCATGGTCGACCGTGACGGTCGACTGTTCCAAAGTCCATTTTTGCTTTTGAGTTGCTCACAGTCGACCGCGAGTTTTCCACGGTCGATCGCCGATTGCCCAACGGTCATTTTGGTACAAAATCAGATTTCTAATTCTTGGGTTTTTTGGTCTTTTGTTCTGGGTTTTTGGCTGATGTTTTGAGAGGGTATAAATATCCCCTTGCTCTCATCTTTGAGTAACAACCAAGAGAGTGTTTTTAAAGAAGTTTGAAAGTGTTTTAACAAGGGTTTTAGTTTGGTTTAAGAGTGTTTAAGAAGCTTTTAAGCAATTAAGAGTTTTGGGTTTGTGAAATCAATTTCACAAGAGCTTGAGGGGATCCTATTGGTGCTTGAGCATCCAACCATCCTCCTTCAATCTCTTGATCTATTGAGAAGTTTTCTAAACTCCATTTCTAGCTCTTTTATATATATATTGATTATCATTGTTATTAAGCTAGAACTATATTGAGTTTATTATATTGTTTGATTATCTTTTTATTAAGCTAGTGTTCATATTGAGTTTAGTTGATTTTATTATCTCTTTGTTCACACACAACCTATTGAGCTTATTGTATTTACATTCATAGTATAATTGGGTTATGGGATTGTGTAACCTAGAGAGTGAGCTTACAATTCGTTCTCATCCATTGTAGAGAACAAACACTTTGTATTGAGCCTAATTGTGAGATTCACTTTGTAATACACTTGTACACCGAGAGAAGTGTGTGGTGTAAGTCGGGGATAGTCCCAAGAGGAGTGGCGTCGGTTGACGAACCTAGGGAGAGGTTGTATCCGAGCACTTCCCAAGAGGAGTGGCGTCGGTTGACGAACCTAGGGAGAGGTTGTATCCGAGCACTTGAGGGAGACACGTATAGGTCCAACACTTGAGAGGGTATAGAGTGGGATTGCAAGAGTGGTGATTGTAAAGTTTTCGGTTAGCTACACTTGAGAGGGTATAGAGTGGGATTGCAAGAGTGGTGATTGTAAAGTTTTCGGTTAGCTAGAAAACCAAGTGTGAGGTGTAAACATTGTTCGGGTAAGCGTAGAAAATCCGGTTGTGATAGTGGATTTCTCCCCGGGAGTGGGGAGCGGAGACGTAGGACGGAAGGTCCGAACTCCGTGATCATATTGTATGTTTGCATTGTTTATTTGCACACTATTACTCTTATCTTGTTTATGTTTATTTCACCCTTGTGTTAGTTTATATATCCTTGCATATATTACCTCTTTGCTAGGATATATCTCTTTATTCATATTGCTTATTCTTGCTTATATCTCTTGTATATCTATCTTGCAAGAATATATTTGTATTAGTTTTAATTGGCATAAAATCGGATTAAATTAGCATAAGACCCTAATCACCCCCCTTCTAGGGTCTAACACCTTCGTTTTGGTTCTTTAAGTATTTTTTTAAAGTGAGTATGATTATCGTTGGGGATTTAGGTATCATGGGGATTGGAGGAATGAAACCCAGACTGCCGTTTCTTTGATTGGGTTTCTGCATTGGTTGGAGACGGGAGAGTTGCTGATGCATTTGGAGGCTATGGAGAAGCTTGGATGTGAGGACTCTTTTCTCTTTTAAATTTTCAAAAATTCTTTAGAGTTCTAAAAAGTGATTTTCTAAATTTAGAACAGGGCCCCCAAATTGTCTGCCACGCCTCTGATGCTAGGGGTATGAAAGTTTCCAAAAAAAAAAACATTTCTTAATTCTTAAACCTATTCAAAAAAGTTTCCTTACAATAATAGTTTCTTAAATCTTCAATATTTTGAAATTATTCCTTCAAATCATTGAAGTTGCTATTAGGTCTTATCGTTTTAGTGGAGGAACTACTTTAAAATAAACTTATCAGTTGAGGGATCTAAAGGCAATTTTGATGATTTTAAGTCTAGTTTTGAAATAAGTTATGAGAATAAGAGGTCCTCATAGCAATTTCAATGGGTTGGGGAGCTCATTTTAAAATGTTAAAAGATTAGGAGACTTATATCGAAAAGAATATTAATAATAATAATCTTAATTAAGCTAAAAATCCCAAACTGCTTGTTATTCCGTAAGAAAGAAAAGTGTGGGATTTTTTCTTCTGAATTTTTTTAAAGGAAAATATGATTTAGCGAGGAGATCACACTTTTATTTCTTACGAGGAACATATGTATGTACGTGTGCGCGCGCGCGCACCTCGGTAAGGAAAATTCGTATCAATTTCTGGTAAAATTAGACACGTGGTACAGATATATATATGCATATATATAAGCGGATATACATGAGAATACAAAAAAGAACATGAGAAACCAAATAAGATTGAAAAAAAAAATATAGTGCATATGGTACAAGTAAGCTCATTAGTATGTTCCACACCTCCAATAAACTACGATCGAGTCTTTTGATCATCAAAAATTACCTTAAAACCCATTTATCTAAATTTTAAAACTATATTAAGCGTACGGCCGACATATATTCAGGTAATTCAGATACGGATCCTAGGATACATATATTTTTGTGCGCCCCTAGGATAGTTAGTTAGAAGTAAGGATTATAACTTAAAGACGTTATCATTTACGACCAAGATTCGGATTTAAAGTTTGAAGTTATCCGTTTGGAACCAGGACTAAAATTAAGAATTTAAGACCCTACCCCCTTTAAAAATATAAAGACTTGTACATCACGGGTGAAAACAGAACCTGAGGGGGGTCGCACATGCGACAAAAATAAAAAAAAATCGGGATCCCCAGTTTTGTCTGCGTTCGGGGCTCTCTCTCTCTCTCTCTCTCTCTCTCTCCAAAGCGCCCGTAGCGGATCTCTCCCTCAATCGTACCCACCATCATCGTCGTCATCTTCTCCAACTTCACATCAGAATCGAGAGAGAAAGATGCAAGCTTTGAGCGCAGTGACGGTAGCTCGGATGCTGATGGCGGTGAAGTCGGCGGCC